AAAAGTTACTTTTTCGCACAGCGTGATGAAAATAACACATTATCATCAATGATGATGACTTTTCAAAAAAAAAAAAAATTGAATGAAAAAAAAAATTAAGAATTTTATATTCTAGTTTAGCCAAAAGTCTAAAGAATTATCTATTTTAAAAATGAGATTAAACTATTTCGAAAAGTGCACTTGTCAGGTAGATATCAAAAAAATGTTTTTTGTCCCGTGGGAGGTATCAAAAAAAAACTTGATTCTCCAAATGGTCAAAGAACTTTTCCCACGAGGGGGAAAATGGGATTTTGCGCATGCGAAGCGTGCGTAACATTTCATTTTACGGACAAGTGCTAAAAATAGCAAATTATCATCAATGAAGATGACTTTCCAAAAAAAAACGAAAAATTGAATGAAAAGAAAATTAAGAAGAGAAAGAAATTGATGGAAAAGACCATTTAATATTCTAGTTTAACCAAAAGTCTAAAGAATTATCTATTTAACAAATGAGACTAAACTGTTTCGAAAAGTGCACTTGTCAGGTAGATATCACAAAAACGTTTTTTGACCCGTGAGAGGTATAAAAAAAAAATTTTGATCCTCCAAAGGGTCAAGGAAAAGGGATTCGTTTTCCCACGAATGGGAAAGTGGGATTTTGCGCGAAGCGTGCGTAAAATTTCATTTTCCGGACAAGTGATAAAAATAACAAATTATCATCAATGAAGATAACTTTAAAAAAAGAAGAAAAATTGAATAAAAAAAAATAAAAAGAGAAAGAAATTGCTGAAAAAGACAATTTAATAGTTTAACCAAAAAAATTCAAGAATTATCCATTTATAAAATAAGCAATTCCTCATACTAACGAGAAATGAAATAAAAAAATTAACGAAACAAAGTGAAAAATTGACTGAAAAAAAGAATAAAACCCCGAGAAAAATTGATGAAAGAGCCTTAAACCTCAAATAAACCCCTCATCCCCCATTTCCCCCCCCCCCCACCTCAATTACACCCCAGGGGTTGCGAAGAGTGTCCCATTACTCTCCAGAAACTGAAGTCACTAAACCACCCTCTTGTTTTCACATGAGAGTGACGACGTGAAGTGGAAAAAAATGGGGGATAAACTCCATTTACAAAGAGAAATAAAAGAGAAAGAGAAAAAAAATTGTTTCAACGTAAAAGTACTTTTATCTCCCGTTCTTTAATCATTCGCTCGACGACTTGAAAAATAAAAATAACCCTCATATCGAAATAAGACGGCATAAACAAAGTCAAGAGCTTTCGGAGTTACGAGAGAAACTAATTAAATGAGTGAATAAAATCCGAGAGAATCCTTTGATCTTCCGCCGATTTTCCTCGGGTTTTATTCAAACACGGGCCTAAAATGTTCTCGTGGCTTTTGTTTCTTTTTTATTCGATAATTATGGAGACTCGGAGTGCTGAAACGATCGTAGGAAATGAGTGGAAAAAATGATTCTTGAAAAAATAGTGGAGACGGTGATGAAAGTCGAGTCGACATCCGGAGTGGTTTATAGACGTTCACCATCTGGTGATCGAAGAAACAGGAATTCCTGGAGAACGATCAACCGGAATGCCGTGCTCTCATTCCTCGAGGATCATTGCAATCATCATGGGTGGGTAAAAACAATGAGGGGGAATGATAATTCGTCGGGGAAAATCGGTTGAGAGGCGAGAAATTTCGGGAAAAATGAGATAAATTTTTAGGCGAAGTTAAATTTATGGGAGAAATGAAGTCAAATTGAGAAGATGATTGGGGGGAAATTATGATGAATGATTTTTTGAAGGAGGTTGGGGTGCGTTGATGATCTTGTTGATCGTGGAAGGGTAAAATGGCGGAGAGTGATAATTCGTCGTTGAAGAAGGAAGTTTAGGAAAAATAAAATGAAATTTTAGGAGAATTAATGAGGAATTAATGATTGGGGGTGTCAATAATGATTTTACTCTTTCAATGATTTTGGAAAATTGAAATCAACGAGGGGGGATTGATAATTCGTCGGGGAAAATCGGTTGAGAGGCGAGAAATTTCGGAAAAAATGAGATAAATTTTTAGGCGAAGTTAAATTTATGGGAGAAATGAAGTAAAATTGAGAAGATGATTCGGGGGAAATTATGATGAATGATTTTTTGAAGGAGGTTGGGGTGCGTTGATGATCTTGTTGATCGTGGAAGGGTAAAATGGCGGAGAGTGATAATTCGTCGTTGAAGAAGGAAGTTTAGGAAAAATAAAATGAAATTTTAGGAGAATTAATGAGGAATTAATGATTGGGGGTGTCAATAATGATTTTACTCTTTCAATGATTTTGGAAAATTGAAATCAACGAGGGGGGATTGATAATTCGTCGGGGAAAATCGGTTGAGAGGCGAGAAATTTCGAAAAAAATGAGATAAATTTTTAGGCGAAGTTAAATTTATGGGAGAAATGAAGTAAAATTGAGAAGATGATTCGGGGGAAATTATGATGAATGATTTTTTGAAGGAGGTTGGGGTGCGTTGATGATCTTGTTGATCGTGGAAGGGTAAAATGGCGGAGAGTGATAATTCGTCGTTGAAGAAGGAAGTTTAGGAAAAATAAAATGAAATTTTAGGAGAATTAATGAGGAATTAATGATTGGGGGTGTCAATAATGATTTTACTCTTTCAATGATTTTGGAAAATTGAAATCAACGAGGGGGGATTGATAATTCGTTGGGGAAAATCGGTTGAGAGGCGAGAAATTTCGGAAAAAATGAGATAAATTTTTAGGCGAAGTTAAATTTATGGGAGAAATGAAGTAAAATTGAGAAGATGATTCGGGGGAAATTATGATGAATGATTTTTTGAAGGAGGTTGGGGTGCGTTGATGATCTTGTTGATCGTGGAAGGGTAAAATGGCGGAGAGTGATAATTCGTCGTTGAAGAAGGAAGTTTAGGAAAAATAAAATGAAATTTTAGGAGAATTAATGAGGAATTAATGATTGGGGGTGTCAATAATGATTTTACTCTTTCAATGATTTTGGAAAATTGAAATCAACGAGGGGGGATTGATAATTCGTCGGGGAAAATCGGTTGAGAGGCGAGAAATTTCGGAAAAAATGAGATAAATTTTTAGGCGAAGTTAAATTTATGGGAGAAATGAAGTAAAATTGAGAAGATGATTCGGGGGAAATTATGATGAATGATTTTTTGAAGGAGGTTGGGGTGCGTTGATGATCTTGTTGATCGTGGAAGGGTAAAATGGCGGAGAGTGATAATTCGTCGTTGAAGAAGGAAGTTTAGGAAAAATAAAATGAAATTTTAGGAGAATTAATGAGGAATTAATGATTGGGGGTGTCAATAATGATTTTACTCTTTCAATGATTTTGGAAAATTGAAATCAATGAGGGGGGATTGATAATTCGTTGAGGAAAATCGGTTGAGAGGCGAGAAATTTCGGGAAAAATGAGATAAATTTTTAGGCGAAGTTAAATTTATGAGAGAAATGAAGTGAAATTAAGAAGATGATTCGGGGGAAATTATGATGAATGATTTTTGGACGGAGGTTGGGGTGCGTTGATGATCTTGATGATCGTGGAAGGGTAAAATCAATGGCGGAGAGTGATAATTTGTCGTTGAAAAAGAAAATTTAGGAAAAATAAGATGAAATTTTAGGAGAATTAATGATGAGTGATATTTCGAGGCAGTTAAATGTGTCAATGATGATGTCCCACTTTCAATGATCTTGGGAAATTGAAATCAATGAGAGTGATTCATAAATTATGGGTAGAGTGGTTGAAAATCGGTTGAAAATTGAAAATTTTCGGCAGAAATGAAGTAAAATTGAGGAGATGATGCTGTCAAAATGATGATGAATGATTTTTTGAAAAAGGTTGGGGTGCTTTGATAATTCTAATGATCTTGGAAGAGTGAAATCATTGAAATCCATGATGGGGATTGATACATTATCGATGGAATCGGGGAAAATCGGTTGAAAGACGAAAAATTTAACAAAAATTTCTGAGAAATCAAGTAAAAATGACCGAGAAAATAATAATTAATGATTTTTTTTGGGCCGTTGAAGTGCTTCGATGACCTTGGTCATCATGTGAGAGTATAAACAATGGAAACGATCAATCAATTATCGATTTTGAGCCATCAAAATCATCATAAGACATCTTTCAAACGTCGAAAAATGATTGGAAAATGATTTTATGAGGCATATGTCAGCCTTCGGGCTCTTTTCATCACTCACATGATCTTCTAATCATACAAACAATATCGCAGATCGATAGGTATCTTTTATTTCCGTGGTCTGATCGTGAACAAACGCTTAAACACTTGAAAATATGCGAAAAACGACTTTAAAAACTATGTTTTGAGGCATGTGTCGAAATTTTGGGATGAATCGGTGACCCAAATCATCATCTGAGAACATAAACAATGATTTTGATCGATCATCATCGATAATTTTATTGATGTGATCGTGAAAAAACCGTTAAAAACCCAAAAATGACCGAAAAAAGACTTGAAAAATGATTTTTCCAGTCATCTACGGGCATGTAAGGGGTTTCGATGACCCCAATCATCATCACAAATTAAAAAACCCCAGACTGATCGATAATCACCCGGGAAATCATCGAAATGATCGTGCAAAACCGTTTGAAAACCTAAAAATAACAAAAAAAGACTCCCAAAAACAATGAAAAATAATTTTTCACTACATTTCCATCAATCAAACCGCCTCAATGACCCAAATTAATCATTCAAGAATAAAAAATAAACACGTAACCGTGAAGAATGTAAAAATGAGCGGAAAATGACTGTAAAAAATCAAAAAAAGAATTGAATTTTCGTCGCATCTGTCGACATTTGGGGTCTCTGAACGACCCCAATCGATCGTATTGCGGGTCAACAGTACAAAAACACCATCGAACCAGCGACCATTGTCCCCCAAATACCCCCACCACCGCCCTTTCCAATTATTAAAAAAAAACCATTCATAATAAACTCCCTTAAATTAAATTATTTTATGGGGATTAAATTACCGGAAAAGGGCTTGTACCCAGCGAGGAATCTTGCTCGCCACCACTTCACCAATCCGGTAGCCATGGGACCCTCATGCGTAATGACACGCAGGCTTTCCACTGTGATCCTCGTGTTTACACAGAAAGAAAATTGTATTTTTTCTCCTCTCGTTAATCCATAGGGATTTTCATCACTTTATGTATCACTTTTTTTTTATCACACGGAAAATATTCACTCACCACAACTTCAATATTTTTTCCTCAAAAATGATGAAAAATATTTTTCCTTCAATTTTTCAATTCCGTAAAATCACTTTTTCGAACTGATGAAAAAAAATAGAACTTTTTTTTCCTCGGGATATTGCAGTTTTTCCGTTTTTTCCGTGGGGAAGTAATTATTAATCCCGAGGTAATCGCGTTTTCCCGGACAAATTCACTCCCAAAATCTCCAGTTCCGGGGATAATTTCCTAGAGCCCGACAAAAGTCGTGAAAACCTTTGAAAAATACAAAAGCCTTTATTTTCAATGCAGCGGTCCGTCCACATCAGCGCCCGTCGTTTGACTACCAGTCCACGAGAGATCGTCCTCGCCTAAACCACGTTCCCCGTATTCCCGCTCCTGCCCGCCCCACCCTAACCCCGCAGTGCCGTCTCAATCCCTCAGGGCCCCGCCCCTCCCCCACCCAGCCCTTCTCCCTCCCCTCTCGCCCCTCAAAAACCGCAAAATTTCCCTAGACAAGTGACCCCCGTGTCCCGCCGCCCTAACCCAACCTTTCCGCCATTTAATCCCCCAGAAAAGCCCGCGGAAACCCATCGAATTCAAATTGAGGCACGTTTAAAACCCATTACGCGCCTGACAAACACATTTCCCGTCTTTCGCAATGCTGTGTTGTACCTCATAACGTTGTTTCACTCAAAACGCAGTAGTGAAAGCACTGACTATCCTAACATTTCGGTGGAAAGTCGCGCAAGCGCGTATCAAAGTACTGAGGGCTAGTTAAATTTTAACGAGTGGATGTAAAATCCAGAGTTTTGCCATGTATGTGCGATGTAATAAAACTAGGAGGAGAGGGGGGGCTGGAGGGGGGTCATGAGACACTCCCCCCTTGATCCTCTGTCGGCACAAAATAGTTTTCTCAATCAACTCGAAAATGTGCCATTGGTCCTCGACGAATTTCAAGAGAGAGAGAGAGAGCGAGAGGAGAATAAGAGAGATGAAAACGTTTGTGTGTCGGTGCCCCCAACATCAAAGGGAAGCCGACCATGTCACTCTCTTAATACTCCCGGAGCATTATTGTTTTTTTTTTACATGAGATTTTTTGTTGGATTTTTTATAGCGTTGGGTAACAATTAATTTGAGCTCTTGTTTTTTTTTTTTAATTCTGCTTTTGTGTTTTTTAAAAGGGGGGCAGGTGGGGGGATTGCAAATGTGGAAATAGATGGGATTGTTTGTGGGGACTGTACCCCGGGCTATTATCTAGCGGTGTTTTCTGAGGAATACACGGGCGTCGGCAATTTCTGGACCCGAGGTATGAATGAAATGTTGTGGCGATAAGGGGCTTTAAGGGGGAGGCGGGGATTCTTCGGGGTTTTAACATTTTTGAGATTGTGGGGAATTTACATTCGTGGGACTTAAGGGAATTAGTTTGCTGAAACAATACATTCTTTTTTTTTATTGCAGATTTTTTTTTTCAGGGAAAAAATTTTTTCAGTACTTTCCACTTCTACAAATTTGTAAAAGTGAAAATCACTAGGGGGAGTTGGCGTTCACGACTGGTGACATGGGGTTTTTTTACTTGTCCTGTTGGCCAACTCCACGGGGATAAAAAAACCCTATAGCATTTCTGGCTCCTATAAATGAATGTTGCGTTGATAAGGGGCTTTAAGGGGGAGGGGAAAATTCATCGGGGTTTCGATATTTTTGAGATTGTGGAAAATTTACATGTGTGGGATTTAAGAAGAATTAGTTTGCTGAAAACAATACATTCTTCTTTCTTTCTATTGTGGAATTTATAATTTTTTTTCAGGGAAGAAATTCTTTCAGTACTTTCCACTTCTACAAATTTGTAAAAGTGAAAATCACTAGGGGGAGATGGCGTTCACGACTGGTGACATGGGGTTTTTTTACTTGTCCTGTTGGCCAACTCCACGGGGATAAAAAACCCTATAGCATTTCTGGTTCCTATAAATGAATGTTGCGTTGATAAGGGGCTTTAAGGGGGAGGGGAAAATTCATCGGGGTGTCGATATTTTTGAGATTGTGGAAAATTTACATGTGTGGGATTTAAGAAGAATTAGTTTGCTGAAAACAATACATTCTTCTTTCTTTCTATTGTGGAATTTATAATTTTTTTTCAGGGAAGAAATTCTTTCAGTACTTTCCAGTTCTACAAATTTGTAAAAGTGAAAATCACTAGGGGGAGATGGCGTTCACGACTGGTGACATGGGGTTTCTTTACTTGTCCTGTTGGCCAACTCCACGGGGATAAAAAACCCTATAGCATTTCTGGCTCCTATAAATGAATGTTGCGTTGATAAGGGGCTTTAAGGGGGAGGGGAAAATTCATCGGGGTTTCGATATTTTTGAGATTGTGGAAAATTTACATGTGTGGGATTTAAGAAGAATTAGTTTGCTGAAAACAATACATTCTTCTTTCTTTTTATTGTGGAATTTATAATTTTTTTTTTCAGGGAAGAAATTTTTTCAGTACTTTGCACTTCTGCAAATTTGTAAAAGTGAAAATCACTAGGGGGAGATGTCGTTCATGCCTGGTGACATGGGGTTTTTTAATTCGTGCTGTTGGCCAACTCTATGGAGATAAAAAACCCCATGGCACTGGTCCTGAAATATACAATTTTTTAAAATTCAAAATCTAAAAAAAATTGAGTCAATTTTTTTTTGTTTACGTGTTTTATTCTTAATAATGATTTTTACCCATTAAAAATGAATAATAATGAAGAGTTCAGTGATGTTTACGTTGAAAAACAACAACTCCACATGCGACTACGCCACTGGTGCGGTAAGCGCCCATTCCCTTCCATCCAAATGGGAGAAAGAGAGAGAAGTAGAAGATAAAACGCGAAGAGAAGGCCTGGAGTCTCGAGGCAGCCATACCGTGGAGGCTCTCTTGCCCCATGCCATCCTCTCCCTATACCCGTAGCTAGTTGTTTCTTTTCCTTTATTCCTTTGTCGGAAAGTCGGCGTCGAGTCTCGCTTTTTTTGAAGCTAGAGTGAGACGAACCCCGGGGTGGGAGCGAATATGCGGAAAGACGGAGTGAGACGAATTGGTCGTAGAGGGGCGGCAGAGGGGGGTGGGGTGAATACGTGGCTGAGGGGAGGAGAGAAGACAATGAGATAAAAAGAAGAATCAAAAGTCCTAAAAAGTTGGAGAAATATTATAGCCGGTGAATGCTGAGAGCGAAAACAACGTCTTAAGGTTTTTGCGATCGGTAAAGTAGAGTTTTGAGGTTAGGGTCTGTTGGGGTGACCCTAGATCTCCATTGACAATGTGTTTTGACACGTGAGGTGATGGACGACTAGAGGGGGGGAGATAATCGCCCGAAATCGGCAGATTTCTGTCGTTATTCAAAGGTTAAATGGAACTTTTTTGGTTATTTGGAGGTTATCCCATCTTTTTTGAGTGAATTCAGGGGGGCAATGAGATAAAAAGACGAATCAAAAGTCCTAAAAAGTTGGGGAAATATTGCAGCCGGTGAATGCTGAGAGCGAAAGCAACGTCTTAAGGTTTTTGCGATCGGTAAAGTAGAGTTTTGAGGTTAGGGTCTGTTGGGGTGACCCTAGATGTCCATTGACAATGTGTTTTGANTCCCTATACCCGTAGCTAGTTGTTTCTTTTCCTTTATTCCTTTGTCGGAAAGTCGGCGTCGAGTCTCGCTTTTTTTGAAGCTAGAGTGAGACGAACCCCGGGGTGGGAGCGAATATGCGGAAAGACGGAGTGAGACGAATTGGTTGTAGAGGGGCGGCAGAGGGGGGTGGGGTGAATACGTGGCTGAGGGGAGGAGAGAAGACAATGAGATAAAAAGAAGAATCAAAAGTCCTAAAAAGTTGGAGAAATATTATAGCCGGTGAATGCTGAGAGCGAAAACAACGTCTTAAGGTTTTTGCGATCGGTAAAGTAGAGTTTTGAGGTTAGGGTCTGTTGGGGTGACCCTAGATGTCCATTGACAATGTGTTTTGACACGTGAGGTGATGGACGACTGGAGGGGGGGAGATAATCGCCCGAAATCGGCAGATTTCTGTTGTTATTCAAAGGTTAAATGGGCCTTTGTTGGTTATTTGGAGGTTATCCCATCTTTTTTGAGTGAATTCAGGGGGGCAATGAGATAAAAAGACGAATCAAAAGTCCTAAAAAGGGGAAATATTGCAGCCGGTGAATGCTGAGAGCGAAAGCAACGTCTTAAGGTTTTTGCGATCGGTAAAGTAGAGTTTTGAGGTTAGGGTCTGTTGGGGTGACCCTAGATGTCCATTGACAATGTGTTTTGACACGTGAGGTGATGGACGACTGGAGGGGGGGAGATAATCGCCCGAAATCGGCAGATTTCTGTTGTTATTCAAAGGTTAAATGGGCCTTTGTTGGTTATTTGGAGGTTATCCCATCTTTTTTGAGTGAATTCAGGGGGGCAATGAGATAAAAAGACGAATCAAAAGTCCTAAAAAGGGGAAATATTGCAGCCGGTGAATGCTGAGAGCGAAAGCAACGTCTTAAGGTTTTTGCGATCGGTAAAGTAGAGTTTTGAGGTTAGGGTCTGTTGGGGTGACCCTAGATGTCCATTGACAATGTGTTTTGATACGTGAGGTGATGGACGACTGGAGTGGGGGAGATAATCGCCCGAAATCGGCAGATTTCTGTTGTTATTCAAAGGTTAAATGGGCCTTTGTTGGTTATTTGGAGGTTATCCCATCTTTTTTGAATGAATGAAAGGGCGAACAATGACGAAGAGTCATTTACCCGTCGAAGATCCAGTCATAACTGGAGAGCAGTTGAAGAGGCAGAGGAGGAGAGCAGAAACTGCCGGATAGTTCCAGAAGGATGAGAGAATGTTCTGGTTCTTCTGGGAATATCTTCCGTAGGAACGGGTTCAGGGGAATTTGTCACTAGACTTTTTTGCGGGGAATTTTATCCTCTGCAAAAAAGGTACTTTACTATTTTCCCCTAAACCTATTAATAGCAGAGATATTTACGGAAGAATCTGTACGAAATTGTTCAACTTTTTTATTTCAAATTTAATTTAGGACTAGGACGCATGTAGATTCGAAAATATAATGAGGGAGAAAGAATGATAGGAATATTGAGGGAGTAGGGTCATGGGAAATGTGGAGAGAACAGGTTATTGTCAGGGTTCTTGACAATCAAGTACAGAGTCATATTATTTTCTAAAAATTCAATGTCGGGAGCTGTAACCACATTATCAAGTTCATAAAACGTTTAATATCTGGCACGCCACACTATCAACAGACTGGTATTTGTCATTCCCTCTAGTCATGAACGTTAGGAATATTCAGTTTTTACTGTTTGATGAACGCTTGAAGGCATCTGCCCCGTCCCTAATACGAATTTGTTGTTCGTCATACGATCCATTGTGCGGCGGCTCTCAATCCTGAATAGGATGAGGATAATTCCGAATTACCCGTTTTAGTTATGGAAAGCTAAGCAGCACTGAGTGTGGTCACTAAGTGGAATGGCGGTCACGAGGGAGTACCCGCCTCAAGAGGCTACCGAAAGCGGTATATGGAAAATAATCAGGAATTAAAATGGCTCGGGAAATGCATAAATTAAAAAAATTGACGTCGAGTCAAGAAGACTCCGGTGAGTTTCTAGAAAGGGATGCAGTTGTGGGCATTTAATTTCCAAGCTTGTAACAATCCCATCAAAAATCCCTAGAAGGAAACGCTTTCCCTAGAGAAACTTTCTAAGAGGACCCAAATAGAGAGTCTGCGGAATTGTTAGAGCACTGAAGACAACGAAAAATATATAATTCAACCGAAAAATTGGGGATCAGAAGTTGTTTATGAGAAACAACTCACAAGCTTGTAACATTAATAATAAAAATCCCCATAGGGAAACGCGTCTCCTAAAAAAATCCCTAGAGAGCTCAAATAAAGTTCAAAAAATCCCTAAAACTCTAAACAGAATAAAAAACAGAAAATCCATCCGAAAAATTGGAAAATGGATCTCATGTCCGAGGAACGTCTAAAGCACTCCAAAAAGTTCTATCATGAATCCCCATATGAAGACTTTCCCCCTAGAAAAAAACCCTAAGGCCCGAATAAACAACTCCCAAGTTTGTAACAATCTTATCAAAAATTCCAAGGAAACTCTTTCCCAGAAAAAAAATCCGATAAACCAACAAAAACAAAACCGTTTTTGCCGGTTGGTTTCGTAGCCGATCCAAGCAGAAAGTCCGAAAAATCCCTAGAACCCTAAAAACAACGCAAAACCTAAAATCCATTCGAAAAATTCGAAAATTGGTCTCACGTAGTAGAGCCAACTCCCAAGTTTGCAACAATACGACCAAAAATCCCCACCACACCCTGACCCAAGCAAAAACAACAACCCCCCTCCCCAAATCTCCAGATCAAAACAAAAAGCCCCCTCCCCCCTTAAAAAAAAAACCCTCGAAGGGGCCCCAGGCCAGGGCCCAACGACTACGCCTGGTGTTGTTGTGGGCCGTTCCGTAGGACAGAATATAGGATATGGCCTATAATACAGTTTTACCGGCGAGGCCGTGCTCACCACGGGGTTACCAACACACAGACAACTGCAGCATTCGGTGCATCGGGTTTTTTCGAGCCTCAGTTCCCCCTGGTGAGGCGCTCTCTCGCAGTCAGCAGAGTACAGAGTGTTGTGCGGTTTGCCGGAAAGGGGCGTCTACACTTTTTTAAATCGCGGCGGTGGGGCCCCTGGTGGGGGGTGGGGGAGGGGGGCTGTTGAGTCGTTTGAGGGGGCCGGCGAAGAGGGGGGGTTGAGAAAAATAGAGAGAGAGAGAGAGGAAGCGCAAAAAAAAGTGAGACGGAGAGGGAGTACGTCGGCACGTTTGATCTGAGCCGCGGGCGCCGACAAAGCGCTCGTCCAAGCCCTCTACCCCTCCCCCTGCGCCCTCCCCCCCTAACCCCCTCCATCATCTACCTCCTCCTGCCGTCGTTTTGCTGCCGCGCGAGAGAAACCCCGGGGAAAAAGGAGATAACATTACTCACGGGTTTTGTGAAAGGAGAGAGATAACATGAGGGACAACTACGCGGCATGAAATTCACCGTGGTTAAAAAAATTAAAAAGGCAAAAAGGGGGGGGGGCGGCCGGGGGCGAGGGGGAGGTGAAGGAAAAACAGAGAATCCCAGCTGCTCGGCAAAAGAGTGGTACTAACGGGCAAAGAGAGGATGAAAATACGAATACGAGTAAAAAGAATGACGTTAACGCGAGCGAAACGTCTGTCTTTTATGGGGGAAATATAGGGTTTTTTTTTATTAGGATGATGGATTGTCCGGAATTAATGATCATTTAGGGATTTTTTATTATTTTTGCGGTGAAGGTGGGGGGGAATTAGATGGGGGTGACGATTGCGACAAATTCAATTATTATGTAGGGCTATTTTTACTGTTATTGCGGATTTATTATTGTTTTAAATTTTTTTTTTTCATCCGCGGAAAGTTGAAAATTGGATAATTAGGGGGGGGGGGTGTAGACGGGGCATGTTGATTTTTTTTTTTTTTTCNTCCTTTCGGAGAAAAAAATATAAAGTCAGGTGAGAGAACGGAATTATTGTGTAGGATGATACTTACAAATTCTCTCGTCCTCCTTTCCTCTCTCATTCTACATGCCACTCCCCAACATCTTTCGGTCTTCTCCTATTAATAAATAAACTCACCGGCGGCGCCTTTGATTGTGACGCAAACCCATTACATTTCCGCTTTTCCAAGTTTTGTACGGGAAAAAAGGATGAAAAAAATATACGAATGAACGGTTGAAGTTGAAGCCGGTGGAGGGATAATTGAAGAGAAGTGCTTGGAATATATATATTTTTTTTCCTTTGATGATGATGAGGAACCGAGTGAGGAGGGCTTATCTTGAGATACATCAGGAAATTGCGGATGTGTATTTCTTTCATGAGTTTATATTTATGTTTAATGTATGAATGGAGAATGAAATTTAGAGTTGGGCCGGGCAAATCGTCTCATTCTCCCTAGAATTTTTTTTGTGATTAACATCAAATAATTAATGATGAAAAAAAAAAACATGAATTTTTTTTTTTTGAAAACGAAAATCGAGCGGTTTATTTAGTCTCTGGCGCCACCTCCCGGATTTAGTGATTTTTATCTTCAGTCGGTAATGACGGGATTTTGTTATCGATTGAGGGGAGATTGTTGTGATTATCAAAATGGCGGATGGTGTTTGTATCGAAAGGTTATGTTCGTGATGATTGTGACGTGATAGTAATCGTGTTTGACTGAATAATTGTGGAAATGTCGTTGTACGATGATTTTGATAAGCACAGAGCGTCGGACAAGGTGGCAGGATGGTCCTCTGGGATTAAACTGCTGCAGTCGCAGCTGCAGTTGAAGAAAGCAGCCACTACACAGGTAGGATTGCCTCATAACGTCAATATTTTTGGACAATTTTCAACTTTTTTTCAAGAATTGAGTTGTTATTTTCCTGTTACACTCATTCTGCTTTCATGGATGGGGACTCAATACTGAGGATTTTACTGGTGAAATTTAATGATAATTATTTTTGTGATGAAGGGGAGAGATGAGAATATTTTGTTAGCAGGGTCTGATAGAGAAACGAGTGAAACTTTTCGGATTTCAGATATGTTAATGGTTAGGAGGGAATATGTGGGGAATGAGTGGGTGTAGGAGAAAATGTCAGAAGAACTTTTTTGGAGAGAATTTAATTTTCTGAAAAAAATGTTATTTGGAATTTTTTCCTAAAACCACTCATTAACGAGATAATCCCCTGATTAACAACCGTTTGGACTCTTGACGTAATGTAGTGCACGATAAAATTGATCTGATTTAATCGTTAATATCTCCTCACCCAACGATCCGATTGGGATGACTCAAAGCTCATCTTAAAGCTTGAAAAAACACCTCGAAAATGAGAAAAAAATCGGGAAAATCGACTCTGCCGTTCTCGCGTTACTGAAGACAAAAGACCTCAGACTCATCCACCGATTTAAAAAAAATGAAGAATTGAATTCTAAAATGATTGAATTTTCTCAAAAATCTTCCATCATGCAGAATTATCACTAATAAATAATCTCAATAAAAAAAAATACAATAAAAAAATGATCCTAAATAATGAAAAAATGAAAAAAATTAAATAAAAAAAAATTAAAAAGTTAAACTTGTCAAACATCAAATGATTTTCAAGCCAAAACGAGAGCAATATCGAAAAGCGACTGCAGTCCTCCCCCCGGTAATCGACCTAAAATCAAAAACAACCCTGACCCGCGAGCCCGATCGTGAGGATGACGCCTCGAACAGTATTTTCCCCACGGCAATTCCCAACAACACAGCGACCTCCGGTGAATTCGACTGGAACGTCGTCAACGAGTACGACCCCATGTGGCCGAACGAGTACGACAAAGTGGTGAAGGAGCTCCGAGACATCCGCGACAGGGAGTACGACCAGGAGGCAGAGCAGCGAAAGAGGAGGCGAGAGGTGACGAGGTTCGAGGAGCCCCAGACGTCGTCGACCCCCAACAGCACGATGATAGTCCCCGAGAGGGACGAGGAGAGGTCGACGGCATCCCGAGGAGTGACCGGAGGGGCCGCAATAGCCCCTCCTCCGTCGCTTCAGGAGCCCTCGGAGCCGCTGGTGTCCTCACCTACTCCAGTGTCTTCTCCAGTGACACCAAGAGGTATTTTATATTTCACGCCAACCCCCATATGACCCTTATACGACGCCTATGTGACCTCCATGATCCTTATTCTGACCCTTGTGACCCTCAGCTTCTTACCCTCATACAACTTATTTGGACCGTTATTGTGACCCTTGTAGACCATAATCTGATCCCTGTGACCCTTTTTTAGGCCCTTAAACTGACCCATATGACCCTTAATCTGATCCCTGTGACCCTTTTTTAGGCCCTTAAACTGACCCATATGACCCTTAATCTGATCCCTGTGACCCTTTTTTAGGCCCTTAAACTGACCCATATGACCCTTAATCTGATCCCTGTGACCCTTTTTTAGGCCCTTAAACTGACCCATATGACCCTTAATCTGATCCCTGTGACCCTTTTTTAGGCCCTTAAACTGACCCATATGACCCTTAATCTGATCCCTGTGACCCTTTTTTAGGCCCTTAAACTGACCCATATGACCCTTAATCTGATCCCTGTGACCCTTTTTTAGGCCCTTAAACTGACCCATATGACCCTTAATCTGATCCCTGTGACCCTTTTTTAGGCCCTTAAACTGACCCATATGACCCTTAATCTGATCCCTGTGACCCTTTTTTAGGCCCTTAAACTGACCCATATGACCCTTAATCTGATCCCTGTGACCCTTTTTTAGGCCCTTAAACTGACCCATATGATCCTTAATCTCATCCTTGTGATTCTCGTGACCCTTAATCTTACCCTTGTGACCATTAATCTGACTCTTGTGATTCTTATTCTGACCCTTGTGACTCCTAGTTTTTTACCCCCATAACCCTTATTTAAACCCTTACTGTGACCCTTATAATCCTTAATCTGATCATCGTGACCCTTTTTAGGCCCTTAAACTGACCCTTAAACTGATCCCTGTGACCCTTTTTTAGGCCCTTAAACTGACCCTTATGATCCTTAATCTGATCCCTGTGATTCTCGTGACCCTTAATCTTACCCTTGTGACCATTAATCTCACTCTTGTGATTCTTATTCTGATCCTTGTGACCGCTAGTTTCGTACCCCCATAACCCTTATTTAAACCCTTACTGTGACCCTTATAATCCTTAATCTAATCTTCGTGACCCTTTTTAGGCCCTTAAACTGACCCTTAAACTGATCCCTGTGACCCTTTTTTAGGCCCTTAAACTGACCCATATGATCCTTAATCTGATCACTGTGATTCTCGTGACCCTTAATCTTACCCTTGTGACCATTAATCTGACTCTTGTGATTCTTATTCTGACCCTTGTGACCCCTAGTTTTTTACCCCCATAACCCTTATTTAAACCCTTACTGTGATCCTTATAATCCTTAATCTAATCTTCGTGACCCTTTTTAGGCCCTTAAACTGACCCTTAAACTGATCCCTTTGACCCTTATTTAGACTCTTAAGCTAACAAGGTAAGAAGGGTTAGCCCTTGTTACTCTTATTTGGACCCTTAATCTGGTCCTTGTGACCCTTAATCTGACCGATGTGACCGTGAATCTGACCCTTGTGACCATTAATGAAGGGTCACGTGAATCTGACCCTTGTGACCATTAATCTGTCTCTTGTGATCCTTATTCTGACCCTTGTGACCCCTAGTTTCTTACCCCTAGTTTCTTACCCCCATAACCCTTATTTGAACCCTTACTGCGACCCTTGTAATCCTTAATCTGATCTTTGTGACCCTTTTTTAGGCCCTTAAACTGACTCTTATGACCCTTAAACTGATCCCTGTGACCCTTATTTAGACCCTTAATGTGACCCTTATGTAGACCCTTATTTGGACCCTTAATCTGGTCCTTGTGACCCTTAATCTGACCGATATGACCGTGAATCTGACCCTTGTGACCATTAATCTGACTCTTGTGATCCTTATTCTGACCCTTGTGACCCTTAGTTTCTTACCCTCATAACCCTTATTTGAACCCTTACTGCGACCCTTGTAATCCTTAATCTAATCTTTGTGGCCCTTTTTTAGACCCTTAATCTGACCCATATGACCTTTAATTTGATCCTTGTGACCCTTGTTTATACCTTTAAGATGATCCATATGACCCTTAATCTGATCCTTGTGACCCTTATTTAAAGATCTATATTAACTCCCTGAGGTGCAGAAGATTTAAAACCATTGGTCGGCATCAATCATTAATTCTGTAATATTATGAGAAGTTGCATTTTACGATAATCAAGATTTACTTCATTGAAATTTGAAAAATAATGTAATAATTGGCAATTAAAATTTTTTTCAATTGACTCTTAACTAAATAATTGACAACATGGAATTGTCGATTCACTATTGAGTAAATATTTCTAAATGTCTTAAAAGTATTTTTCGATTAGCCAAATAATCGTCAATCTTCCAAATTGAATTATTGATTGATAAAATAATGCGGAATTTGAAAATTTAAATTGATGATTAATTTAATAATTGAAAAATTGGTGAGTAATGTTAACAATTGACTTATTCAAAATTTAACTTTAATTAAAATTTATGATTATTCCGATGTCTGTTTAAAAGGGAAAACGAAAATTCATGGTTTATGCATTGATTTTGCAGTCTTTCATTTGGATTTCATCAATTTATACTTTTTTTTTTTTGTTGGTTAATTAACTTGAAATATTGTCTAGGCGGAGGGCTGGGGTATGCGACGTCCTCAGTTGCTGCGAAGATAATGGCGAAGTATGGGTTCAAGGAGGGACAGGGCCTGGGGAAGAAGGAGCAGGGGATGAGTGTTGCCCTTCAGGTCGAGAAGACGAGTAAACGGGGCGGAAGGATTGTTGGGGAGAGGGAGCAACTGATGCCTCCGCCTCCTTCTCTGGTGCCCTCACCTCCCAGTGGGAGTCAGGGGCTCGGAAGCGAAGAACCCAGTATCACTGAAATTATGAAGAGTCCGAGCAAGGTGCCCAGAAGATTTTTATACATTTTTTTATTTCTTTCCATGTTTTTAAAATTCACTTTTCGAAAGAATTTTTTTTAATTGTTGAGTATTTTGAGAGCGAGTGGGTTTAGGGAAAAATGTCATAAATCATTTTTGTACAGAATTTCATAAGCTACAAAAAATGTCTGAAGCCATTTTTTCGTAAAACCACTGCTTAACGAGATAATTAACAAATTAAGAAAAATGGCGTTGTGAATGGAATTAATGGATTTTGTTCACAGGTGGTGCTTCTCAGGAATATGGTAGGCCCTGGAGAAGTGGATGACGACCTCGAGCCCGAGGTGAAAGACGAGTGCAACACGAAGTATGGAGATGTGGCACGAGTGGTGATTCAAGAGGTACCAGACGTCCAGGCAGAAGAGGCAGTTCGCATATTCGTCGAGTTCAAGAGGATAGAGAGTGCTATAAAAGCTGTTGTGGATCTCAATGGGAGGTTTTTTGGGGGGAGACAGGTCAGGGCTGGATTCTACTCCAGCGAAAAACTGGACAACTATCAACTACTGGACTGAATCAACAATGGATCATCAATTAATCAACTTTTGCGATAATTATATTTACAGAATTCCTAGCAGTACATTCTCTTTTGTGTATCCAGCTCATTCGTGATAAATTGTAAATATTTGATATTTTGTGGAATTGATTGATTTCATCGTCTTATCTCTCAACATTGATAATTCAGTTTTACAGGGTATTTTTGGCATTCAGTGCGGTCAGTGGCAACCAGCAGGTACTTTTTTGTATCGTTTGCAGACTTCGTGTAACAAGTCTTTCAGTATTTCTATTTGGTTCCCAGCGTCCTGAAACAGAAGCGTTTTCATTTTTGGTGGAAAATGATGAATTGTAAATTCATCAATTTATTTTCATCAATGCAGATGGTGAAGATTTGAGGCTCGGGTGTACTATCTTTCGTATGTTATCTGGATATTTTTATCTTTCGTAATCCAAAATTGTCAATTGAGTCGCACATCGTGTAGAAATTCCCAAAAATTATGGTAGAATGATAAAAAAATAGAAAAAATTCTCAACTTTTTCAAAGAGCGTTTTTAATTGAGATTCAGAATGAGTTGAAAAAAGTGGAAATTACAGATATCTGAACACTAACTCCTCATGGGAAGTTACAGCTAGGTATCTCAATTTTCAAAACAGTGGTATGTAGTCATCTGCCATTTTTATGTGATAAAAGTGTGATTAAAAAATTCTCCAAAATATTACAACAAAAAGCCCTTTTCGTAATAAATGTCCTTGTGCAGTGTGGGACAAGATTGACGAAATCAGTCTTCCCCCTGCATGATATTGGCTGACAGGCCGTCATTTGTCACCGTAAATCAGATACATTTTTCAATTTCTTGTTATTCAACTTATTCTAAATATAAATTAAAAATGCTCTTTGAAAAAATTAAGAATTTTTTCTACTTTTTTTTGTTATTCATTCATAATTTTTCGAAACTTCTGCATGATGCAGGACTTAATTGACAATTTCAGATGACGAAAGATGAAAAAATCAGGCCCGGTCGCGCGCTTCGCGCGCTCCCTCTTTAGGGTATGACCGGTAGGGGTTGATGGAATTGGATGTGACCCATTACGGGTCGCACCAATAACTTCCCGACCATTTGTTTTTTCTTTCATTAATTTTTTTATTATGTATTTATTCAATCTTTTTCTCACATTTCTCCGAGGAAATACCCATAGAAGACAAGAAAATCCGTGCGCGTGCTCGCACTCACACACACTCCCATGCACACACATCGCCGTATTCCGCATCGAGAAAAGATGTAATTTATCAGAAAAGTAAAATTGTTTCTTGAATGTATATCGATTTCGAAAAAAGCTAGTGAACTGCTGATTAAATGTCTTCCAGTATTCCATGATTTGTGCGTTATATCAAGATTCATCGTTTCTAACAAAAAAAACTTGAAATCGCATCGTTATGCACGGAGAAATGGTCTCGTTTACAAAAAAACGCTAATTTTCGACTTTTTTCCAAATGTTTTTTGGAAAAAACTGGAGAAACGCTGAGACGATCGTCTCCATAATCTAATCAGGTTCAAGTCACATGAAAATACAGCGAAAAAAAAAAAAGTCAAATCGCATCGTTTGTTCAGGAGGAATCGTGGCACAAAATTTTTGTCACAGACGTACGCACACACATACACACATCCACACATACAGACAGGTACCTGAAAAGGGTCAGAAGTGGTTCCAAAGGTCATGAAACGTGGAGAAATGCTTAAATTTCCACATTCGATTTTCGGGGTCATTACAATAACTTCCTCCCTTCGGGTCGGGAAGTTAAAAAAACATCGAGATAACGTTCGAAAGATAGTACACCCGGGCCTTAATTTCTTACTTTGATCGAAATGCGCATTATACGAATCAATCTGAGGAAATACAAGAAACTGCAGACGGTCGGACTACTCATTCGTTAGAAGAAAAAATAGAACATTGAAGTTTTATTTTGCAGACCATAACGAGACCATAAAGAGTTTGTATCCCGTTTTCACTTGATGATTAAATAATATCGGAATCATAGGACGATATTTCTCGGTCGAAAACTCGAATGAATCTTGAAAAAATCCCCACAAAATTAGTCAAACATCACCTCAAACGCCAATCCAAATATTTTGGTTTTCTCATTCAGTCGAAAATTTATAGTTCTATTGATCCAGTCAATCTCGTTAATTAAACTATTATTTACTCACATTATCAAGAGTGATTGTAGGAATAAACTCGACAGGTGGTGACAGGGCGTGCGTCATTTCCCCGTACTTGGCTAATAGTTCAGCCCCTCGGGGGCTTTTGTAGCATTTAAATATTGGCTCAGCATCAACGTGGAGTCTGTCGGCACACGTGCGCGTTATGTTTTGCGGCCAGATATTGTGCTCGATCATACAGGCTAGAAATTTTAATTGAACGCTGGGTTTTTTTATCACATCAATAGCACAGGCGTGAATTGTGTTTGCCTCGCACTCCCTCGGGCCGTGTTGGCACTCGAAGCTGTAACCATCTGGTCCCGGAATTGTCTGAAAAGTTTAATCAAATGTTCAGATTATCATTCTTAAGTCATTAACAACTCATTTTGGATTCTCGAGACAATTTCTAGGGGCTTACCCTTTTTATAGACATTTCTATTTTTTTTTATTTAGCACGAAACTACAAGTTTATACAGCTTATCGATATAGGATAGAAAAAAAATAGAAAAGAAGAATTATAATAACAGAAGAGAATATGTGACCTAAGACAGGAGGCAGTTTATATGGATTCGTGTATAGATGTGTACATTGGTGTCTTAGGTCTTATATTTTTAAATTGCTTTCGTTTAGAAACTTGATGATGTCTACACTGAGAAAAAAAAATATTTTTGCCAAATATTCATTTACTTGAGAGAAGTATTTATTTTTTCAAAATCGAATTTCTCCAATCGAGTCATTCCCAGGTGAGGCCAATTAGGTTTCAATTATGACAATCATATTGCTCTAGAGGATGACTATGGTGTAAATGACTTTGGATGAACTCCTTCAATAATTATTCATTCTTCCCAAATTTCTTATTTTCTAAGGAAAGAATTTTGATTAATTTTTTAATGTTGATAATTATTGAGGGAGTTCATGCAACGTCATAACTAAAATGATCATCTCCTGGAGCAATATAATTGTCATAATTGAAGCCTAATGAGGATTGTCTGGGAATGACTCGACAGGAGAAATATGGTATTGACAAAATAAATACTTCTGTCAAGCAAATGGATATTTGGCAAGAATAATTTTTTTTCTCAGTGTATGCATATGAGATCTAGGTCTTTCAGGATTTATTTATTTATTTATTTTTTCAAAATCGAATTTCTCCAATCGAGTCATTCCCAGGTGAGGCCGATTAGATTTCAATTATGACAATCATATTGCTCTAGAGGATGACTATGGTGTAAATGACTTTGGATGAACTCCTTCAATAATTATTCATTCTTCCTAAATTTCTTATTTTCTAAGGAAAGAATTTTGATTAATTTTTTAATGTTGATAATTATTGAGGGAGTTCATGCAGCGTCATAACTAAAATGATCATCTCCTGGAGCAATATAATTGTCATAATTGAAGCCTAATGAGGATTGTCTGGGAATGACTCGACAGGAGAAATATGGTATTGACAAAATAAATACTTCTGTCAAGCAAATGGATATTTGGCAAGAATAATTTTTTTTCTCAGTGTATGCATATGAGATCTAGGTCTTTCAGGATTTATTTATTTATTTATTTTTTCAAAATCGAATTTCTCCAATCGAGTCATTCCCAGGTGAGGCCGATTAGATTTCAATTATGACAATCATATTGCTCTAGAGGATGACTATGGTGTAAATGACTTTGGATGAACTCCTTCAATAATTATTCATTCTTCCTAAATTTCTTATTTTCTAAGGAAAGAATTTTGATTAATTTTTTAATGTTGATAATTATTGAGGGAGTTCATGCAACGTCATAACTAAAATGATCATCTCCTGGAGCAATATAATTGTCATAATTGAAGCCTAATGAGGATTGTCTGGGAATGACTCGACAGGAGAAATATGGTATTGACAAAATAAATACTTCTGTCAAGCAAATGGATATTTGGCAAGAATAATTTTTTTTCTCAGTGTATGCATATGAGATCTAGGTCTTTCAGGATATTTTGGCTAGAGTATGGAGGGAGGAAATTTTTCCTTTGTAATGCGTTGAGCATATTTTGTCCCGGCTGATCATGTCGGGGCAGTCCCACAGCACATGGTCGAGGTCTTCATTCGGGTGGCCACATTTGCATTGGGATGATTGAATCAAGTTTTCCCTCTTCAGAGAGGCTGCGAGATGATAATGATTGGCTCTAGCTCTATTTATCCAAACAATTGAGAAGCGGGAAACTAAGGATATCTCAACAACTATTGGATTTGAATAAAAATGTCATGAGAACTTTTTTGTAGAGAATTTAATTTTCTACAAAAAGCTTATTGCACGTTTTTTTCGAAAACCATTTGTTAACGAGATAATCTACTATTAAGAAAACCAAAATCACGTCGAATTCTATGAATTTCTGTTTTTGATTGGTAAGTGTTTGATTATTTCGTTAATGAGTGAATTTAGGAAAAAATGTCCGATAAATTTTTTGCAGTAAATTCAAGTCACTGCAAAAACATTCAGCATATTTTTCTCTAAACCCCTTATCTCTGGAGATATTTGAGAAATACTTTGAAAATTATCTTTCACTTTATCTCTTGTTTCTCCACGTCACCGCGAATTATTCAGCCATTGTTTACGTACCGTAGCTTTGCCATATGGAACCATCTGCACGACAACATTATCAGGTATCTTGTGATATGTTGGCTCTAGCTGCCTCACCACGAAGCTCCTTGAGTCCGGACAAAGGGCCTCGTAATAAACCACTATTTTCACTTTTTCGGGTTTTATCCTTGGCACGGGCATCACGGATAGTTTTTCAAAATCTCCCACCTGTGTTTTAACTATTGAATAATCAAATTTCGAGGAAAAGACACTCAAGACTATTTCAAAGAGATCCTGAATGAAAAAAAAATTGCAAAACGAAACAGAAAAGACAATTCATTTTATTAATTCCTCAATTATTTAATCAGCAAGTGGATTTACGACAAAATGTCTGAAAACCTTTTTTATAGGAAATTAAAATCTCTAAAAAAAATGTCTTGTGGCATTTTTTTCTGAATCTGCTCATTTCCTAGGTAATTCACAAATCAATAAATCATGTCAAATCGAAAATTCTTTCGGTTACATAAAACCTCTTCCTCGATATCTTAATTATCTCATTAACGAGTGGTTTTACGACAAAATGTCTCAAGATCTTTCTTGGAACTTATGAAATTCTCTACAAAAAATGTTATTTGACATTTCCTCGTAAACCCATTCCTATCCCGGATGATTTACAGATTGATAATTCATGTCAAATTGCAAAATCGTTCCAGTCACATAAAACCTCTTTCTGAATTCCTCAATTACTTCATTAACGAGTGGATTCACGATAAAATGTCTCTGGACCTTTTTTGTAGCTTATAAAATTCTCTACAAAAAACCTTTTTTCACATTTTCTCGAAAACCCTCCCATTTCCCGGAAAATCAGAAAAAACTATCAGGATCTCTTTATCCACGCAAAAAACCTCAGAATTACCTCATCAATCCTGTCATTCCTCACGAATATCCAGAGAAAAACAACAGCCAGCGCAATAACAGTGAACCTGAACCACCACCTGAAGCCTCCAAAATTCTTCAATCCCATTGTGTCCTAGCTGTAGTCCTTCTCGGCCGAATCCAATGAAATTCCCATAAAAATTCGTTCCAACTTTCTAAACTACTTATCATATCAAAACGTCCAACGTTCCTCACAGCCGGACTTTTATTTGCCATCTGCTACACGTCACTGCAGATGTGACGCTGATAAACTGCAAAAATATTGCTCAAGTTAATGCACAAGGCGAGAAACTCGATTTGAAGTAACTCGATTTTTACCGATGCCCTCATCTCGAGTCATGAATTGCTCCAGTTGTTGGATTGATTTATTTACTTATCGAAATTTGCATAATCTGGGAAGGATTGATAAGGATTGGGGACATGTGTTGGGAGGAGGTGGGGTTACTGATAAATTCTGGAGGATAATGGCAGAATGGAAACGGTTTTATCGGTGGAGTACCAACTTTGGAGTCGAGGGAATTTTTCTGTCATTTTTGGAGTTGATCAGTAAGGTTTCGCGGTGGGGGCAGGAGGGGGGGAGCGCGAAGGCTAGTTGACAATGTCAGTTGATAAGGCCCGAGGAACAATGGATATCAATCACGTTTTGATGATTGGCAAAATTTTTTTCACTGATTTTTCTTTTTAAACTCACGGAAGAAATTTCCATCCGCGGGAAATTCGCATTGGAATCGAGCTGGATTAATTATTGTGGGGTGATTGGCTCTTATCAGTTGATAGAAGTCAACCGCGTCAAAGAATATCACAATTTTAGTCTAGTGATTTCTACAAAATCGCAGGGAAAAAAAGGAAATTCAGGGGAATTCCCTGCTTAATAGTCTCGGATTCACATTGATCCGCCTTATTTTTTTTTATCAATCGAGAGTTGAGTAAGGGCCGAGAAAAATATAAATAAATAATTATACCCCCTCAAAATCCATTTTTTAAAGCAATAAAAAACGGATTAAAAATGTTTTATAATTGTAAAACGTAAAAAGAAATCACAACAATGATGAAATAATCGTAATTGAACAATGAAAAATAACTGTTGAAAGAAACTTTTTTTATTTAAAAATTTGAAAAAACAATTCCAAAAACGTCTGAATCTTCGTAATTTCAGAATAATTAAGAAAAAAATCACTGGATTTTTTTATTGTTGAAAAAAGCCTGAATGATAAATATTTTCTTTCACGTTCCGATTCTAAAGTTCACCTTTACCTAAGGCCTCGGAAAGACGTAAAAAAAATGACAACAACGGTAAAATACTCAAAATATAACAATTAAAAACAACAGTAGAAAGAAAATTTTTTATTTAAAAAATTGAAAAAACAATTCCAAAAAAGTTGTAATCTTCGGAATTTCAGAATAATTAATTTAAAAAATCACTGAATTTTTTTATTGTTACAAAAAGCCTGAATGATAAATATTCTCTTTCACAGTGGATTTTCTTTCTTTTTATTTTTCTTTATTTTCGTTGTAGTAAAAAAAATCACAACAACGTTAAAATATTCGAGATATAACAATAAAAAACACCTGTTAAGAGAGACTTTTCTTTTAAAAAATGAAAAAGAAAACAAAACAATTCCAAAAAAGTCTTAATCTTCATAATTCCAGAATCATCAACAAAAAAAATCACTGAATTTTTTTATTGCTAAAAAAACCCAAATGATAAATATTCTCTTTCACAGTGGATTTTCTTTCTTTTTATTTTTTTTTATTTTCGTTGTAGTAAAAAAAATCACAACAACGTTAAAATATTCGAGATATAACAATAAAAAACACCGGTTAAGAGAGACTTCTCTTTCAAAAAATGAAAAAGAAAACAAAACAATTCCAAAAAAGTCTTAATCTTCATAATTCCAGAATCATCAACAAAAAAAATCACTGAATTTTTTTATTGCTAAAAAAACCCAAATGATAAATATTCTCTTTCACAGTGGATTTTCTTTCTTTTTATTTTTTTTTATTTTCGTTGTAGTAAAAAAAATCACAACAACGTTAAAATATTCGAGATATAACAATAAAAAACACCGGTTAAGAGAGACTTCTCTTTCAAAAAATGAAAAAGAAAACAAAACAATTCCAAAAAAGTCTTAATCTTCATAATTCCAGAATCATCAACAAAAAAAATCACTGAATTTTTTTATTGCTAAAAAAACCCAAATGATAAATATTCTCTTTCCCGTCCCGATTCCATGTTTGGCCAATTTTTTTAGAATTAAGTTTTTTTCTCTCAAACGATTTTTTAACATTTTTTTAAGACACCATATTCGAGCGTTTTTTAAAATTTGAACTTTCCCCGAGGCCCCGTAAAATTCCCCAAACGCAAGCCCCCAATATCCCTACGCGACTCTCCCTCCCTCCCATTGGCTGACGACAACTGGACGATAAAAGCCCTCTCTCTCCCATCTCCCCCGACAAACCAGTTCGTGTTTTTGTGTTGCGTAAAAGTCTGTGCGAGGTGAACGAGCCCCAGTAGATCGGTAACGTTCCGGTGTTGAATAATAAAATTCGCATGATAATTGTTGTTGAAACTGTTAAAATGGAGATTAATTTGTACGCCCAACGTGCAAATTCAGTGATGAACGCAAGAACTAAGTGTACGACAAGTGACAATGAATTGTGATCCTTATTATCTACTACTTAGTGATTAAAATAGTGATTAGGGCATTAATTTATAACCAATTAACACCAAAAAGATCTCAAAGAGTCAAAACCTCGGGATAACAGAGCGTTTCCAACTCTAATTTTTTTAAAAATCAATTCAAGTCAAATAGCACTCGTAGATTATCGGTTGTTGACGGATTAATTGATAGTGAAGGCTCAATAATAAATCTTAATGGCAGCAGCCCTAAAGAAAAATCATTCACGTAGACGACTTGCTGCGCTAACATTTTTATCCAATATATCACTCGATGGAAGTCATCGAGACACTAATTTGTCACTGTTACCTCACAATGGTGTTATACACAGGCGTTTACACAGTGATGTGCAGAGAAATTGTGTAACGCAGTGCGAGGCTGACACATCTGCCGAGGAAACTGTTGATGGTTTGCCAGATATTTTACATATTAGGGAAGAGACGCCTGAGATTGTGCAGAAAATCGTTGAACATTACTCGTTCAGCTCAGATTCTGATGGCATATCGACCAGTGGGAGAGCTAATGTATCAGCACTTGTGGATAATGAGAGGATTCAACCCGTTCTGGCGAGCATTCACGGATCGTTCAGGGAAAGGTGAGGGCTTTTATGGGTTCTATGGGAGGGGAAGGTTTTTTGTTCAGCAGAAAGCCAATAAGTTTTTATGGTTTTTCATGCAAAACAAAATTGGGAAAAGAGAAGCGAAAAAGGAGAGAACAAGCAAGAAAAGGAAAGGAAGAGGAGAGAAAAGGAGAAAGTTATATTTTGATTTTTTTTACGAGAGTTGAAAAAAAGGTTCTGTGATGTTTTTTGATTGATGTGGCTGTTAAGGAGATAATTAGGAAGTTAAGGGTTTTGGATATTTTTTAAAAGTGATTTTGGACTTTTTGAATTTGCTTGGAGTTGAGGAAAGTGTCGAGAGATTTTTTTTTTGCAGAGAATTCAATTTTTTACTCTAACATTCTCTGTTAGATTCACGTATTGTCGAGGTAATCCTATAATAATTCATTGGCATTACATAATTTTGCTAAAGAAAATGTCAACACTATTTCGTTGATATCTGTGAAACTAGTGGATTGAGAGAAAAATATCACGAGTCCTTTTTTTTAGATGATTGAATTTTCCACAAAAAAAGTTTTCTGATAATTTTTGCTAGATCCGCGCATTAAGTAATTCTTCTGCTGATTTTGATGAACAATGAGAGATCGTTCAGGGAAAGGTGAGGGGATTTATGGGTTTTATGGGAGGGGAAGGTTTTTTGTTCAGCAGAAAGCCAATAAGTTTTTACGGTTTTTCATGCAAAACAAAATTGGGAAAAGAGAAGCGAAAAAGGAGAGAACAATCAAGAAAAGGAAAGGAAGAGGAGAGAAAAGGAGAAAGTTATATTTTGATTTTTTTTACGAGAGTTGAAAAAAAGGTTCTGTGATGTTTTTTGATTGATGTGGCTGTTAAGGAGATAATTAGGAAGTTAAGGGTTTTGGATATTTTTTAAAATTGATTTTGGAGTTTTTGAATTTGCTTGGAGTTGAGGAAAGTGTCGAGAGATTTTTTTTTTGCAGAGAATTCAGTTTTTTACTCTAACATTCTCTGTTAGATTCACGTATTGTCGAGGTAATCCTATAATAATTCATTGGCATTACATAATTTTGCTAAAGAAAATGTCAACACTATTTCGTTGATATCTGTGAAACTAGTGGATTGAGAGAAAAATATCACGAGTCCTTTTTTTTAGATGATTGAATTTTCCACAAAAAAAGTTTTCTGATAATTTTTGCTAGATCCGCGCATTAAGTAATTCTTCTGCTGATTTTGATGAACAATGAGAGATCGTTCAGGGAAAGGTGAGGGGATTTATGGGTTTTATGGGAGGGGAAGGTTTTTTGTTCAGCAGAAAGCCAATAAGTTTTTACGGTTTTTTATGCAAAACAAAATTGGGAAAAAAGAAGCGAAAAAAATGTTTTAGAAGAGTTGAAAGGGGACGGGGGAGGGGCGGGGGGGGGGGGG